TTCCCCCCCCCCCCACCATCTCGGCCCCATTCGGGTCCGGCGGGAGAGTCTGGACCAAGGGGACTAGGTGGGGGCATTCTGCTACCCCGACCCCCATTAAAAGTTCCTTCGCAGACAGCAGAATCGGAACCCGCCGCGACCTTGACCTGAGGTAGCGGGCGCAGGGAAGGGGTATTTACAAAGGGGCGGCGCCCAGCCAGACCTCAGGATTCGACATGTGAGACTGGGGACCTAGAACGTGGGGTAGTAGAGGAATGGGTCTTTATCCCAGGTTTTTTAATGAACCTTTCAAACATACGGAAACGCTGGACGAATGGATCGCCTGTGCGCCTGCACCTATGACTGTTAAAATTTACATTCTCTAGGCGCAGTTTATCTATCCCTGGTGAGCCACTAGGCATGAGCTGCCAGTGCATGCATGACACTCGCTGTTAAATGCTTCCCCATGGTCTCCTGCACGCCCACAGTTCATCTTTACATGTACGGAAGTTATCAGGCATCCCAGAGTGTCATTGACCACTGGGCAGAACTCACGTCTCTGCTGGCCTTCTGGAACCAGCACCCTGCAAAGTGATATTTGCATTTAGTTGTACCTTTGCTGCCTTTACCAAATCCCCCTCCTCTGGAACAGGTTGAATAGTGTCCTTCCCACATTCATGTCCATTGAACCTGCGGATGTGGCCTCATTTAGAAATAGGGTCTTTGTAGATGTAATCAAGTTAAAATGAGGTCGTCCTGGAGTGAGGTGGCTCTAATGCAATGACAGGTGTCTTTATAAGAAGAGGAAAATTTGGACAACAACACAAAAGGAATATGGCCTGACGTCAGTGCGAGAAACGCCAGGGGTGTCCCAGCTTTTGACGAGTGCACACCATTTGGCTTCAGACTGGTGTTTGCTCAGGCTGTGCATTTGGGGCAGGAAGCACAGGGACCTGCTGTATCTCCTCCGTTGCTTCGAATCAGGAGGCCGGGGTGCCATTGTGGCCCAATACTCATACTGGAAACTGTGATCGCTTAGTGTACTGGGGAGAATGGTGTCCCCCAAAATTCATGCCCACTGGAACCTCAGAATGTGAATTTATTTGGAAATAGAGTCTTTGCCTATGTTACCAGGTTGAGATGGGGTCATACTATATTAGGAACCCTAGATCTCATATGACTGGTGTCCTTATAGAAAGAGGGAAACTTGGATGGAGATATGCAGGGAGAAGTCCATGTGAAGATGGAGGCAATCACTGGTCTGATGTGTCTGCAAATCAAGGATTGCTGGCCACCACCATGGGAAGCTGGAGTAGACGAGGATGGCCCTCTCTGGATTCTTCAGTCGGAGCTCGGCCTGGTCAGCACCTCGACGTTGGACGCCTGGCTTCCAGAATTAGAGAGGATACATCCCTGTTGTTTTAAGCTGTCCAGTCTGTGGTGCTCTGTTATGCGGTCCCAGGAAACTAACACCTTGGTTAAGGTTACATTTCTCCCTGGCAAAGTTACCATGTGTTTCCTTTATCTGTCTGTATATATATAAAAGGCTAAGTGACCTGCCGTCTGTCCGTCCGTCCGACCAACTGGTACATATGACCCGCACTGGCGATTTAAAAATAAATGTTGACTCAGCATGCGCAATGCATATAAAGCTCTCACTGGTGCCGATCACAGGTGACGCCAGAGTGTATCTGAAGACCAACTATTGGCACAACATACCTCTGAAGCTGAAAGAAAGCGGCAGCGGCGACAGAATATGGCTTATTTATTAATCAATTTATATATCATTTTCATATACATTTTACTAATTTTCTTTCATCTCTGACACTTCTATTATAAAGGGCAAATAGCGATATTAAAATAGTTTGCTTTTTAATTTATAATACTATATTATATATACTATTTTGACATGTACATTTTTTAAAAATATATTTTATTGATTTTTACAGAGAGGAAGGGAGAGGGATAGAGAGTTAGAAACATCGATGAGAGAGAAACATCGATCAGCTGCCTCCTGCACACCTCCTACTGGGGATGTGCCCACAACCAAGGTACATGCCCTTGACCAGAATCGAACCAGGGACCCTTGAGTCCGAAGGCTGATGCTCTATCCACTGAGCCAAACCGGTTAGGGCGACATGTAAATTTTGCAGTAATGTAATTCCCACATGAATCTTCTAATTAATTTCCTTTCAATGTGCAGGAATCCGTGCACTGGGCCACTATTAATTAATAAGTATCTGTGGGGATGTACTTTTTTCCTTGGTCAGACTTTAAAATTGAGGGACAACATACATATAGCACAGTGTGTAAGCAAGTCTCAGGTGCTTGGAGCCCACACTGAGCTAGACAGCTGCCTGGTGCCCTCCTTGCTGGCACCCCCCACAGCACTCCCATTATCCCAGCTTCTATCACCATAGTTTACCTTAAAAATTGAGGTAAAATTCACATAACAAATTTAATTATTAATCATCCTAAAGTGTACAATTCTGTGGCATTTAATATATTCACAGGGTTATGCAACCATCACCACTATCTAGTTCCAGAACATTCCATCACCCCAATAGGAAGCCCTGTCTCCATGAACAGTCACCCCATCATTCGCCCCTTCCAGCTCCTGGCAACCGCAGACCTACTCTCTCTCTGTGGATTTGCCTTTTCTGGCATTTCATGCCAATGGGATCTTGTGATGCTGCCACGCCGCTCTCCAATTGTACCAGTTACCCTACAGCAGCCTAGAATTTGGAGGGATGGTTAAGGCCATCGTCTGTTGCCCATGCCCCCACCCTTGGCAGCAGTAGAAGCTGACTGGGAACTCTGCTGGTTGTTTCCACTTCCTCTGTCCCTCAGCATTTTCTCTTGGAGATCCTGAATTACCTTTCCATGGAAATGGTGCTCTAGGCAGGACCACGCTTTTCTGTAATGGATCACAGATAGTCAGTGCTTTGGGCTTCATAGGCCAGACGGTCTCCATCCTGTCTGCTTGCAGGCCCTGTGCTGGGCTCTGGGACACAAAGTGGGCAAGATGACCACCATCCCGGTCCTCCTGGGCTTGTGTTGTAGTGGAACAGAAAAAGAGATTGAACAGATAGTTTACAGCGGGGCCTTGACTTATGAGTGTCCCGACTAACAAGTTTTTTGAGATACGAGCTGTCTCTCGGCCGATTTTTTGCTTTGAGTTGCGAGCTAAAATTCGGGTTACGAGCCAGCTTCAGATACCCCACCGCTAGTTGGCGCAGTGAATGTCACAGTGAACTCCACAACATCAGTCCAGCATCACATGTCTCACTCGTTCACTTTTTGATTTGACATACGAGTAATTTGAGTTATGAGCTCCGTCACGGAACGAATTAAACTCGTAAGTCAAGGCCCCACTGTATTTATTTATTTGTTTTAAATACTAGAGGCCCGATGCACAAAATTCGTGCAAGAGTAGTCCTTCCTTCCCCCTGGCTGCTGGTACTGGCTTCCAACTGGCACCTGGGAGGGCTTCCCTCCAGCCCTGGCTTCTTCTAAATTCGTGCAAGAATAGGCCTTCCTTCCCCCTGGCTGCTGGTACCGGCTTCCAGCTGGCACCTGGGAGGGCTTCCCTCCAGCTCTGGCTTCTTCTGGAAGGACGTCTGGAATGACATCTGGTCTAATTAGCATATTACCCTTCTATTATTATGGATATTTTTATTGACTTCAGAGAGGAAGAGAGAGGGAGAAAGAGACAGAAACATCAATGACGAGAGAATCACTTATTGGCCTCCTCCTGTACACCCCCCATTCTGGATCGAGCCTGCAACTCAGGCATATGCCCTTGACTGGAATCAAGCCCAGGATCTTTCAGTCCACAGGCCATCGCTCTATCCACTGAGCCAAACCAGCTAGGGCTGAACAGATAGTTTAATGAGCTTGGAGGAATCAACCAGATTCTGTGGAACAAATTATGTAGAGCCAGGGAGGCCGGCTCTGAGGAGGTGAGGCCGAGTCTGGGGATCGGGAGGAATCAGTATGAAAATAGATGGGAGGGAACAGCAGGTGCAAAGACCCTGAGGCTGGAGGTTGTCAAGGACAGAAGGAAGGACTGGAATCCAGCAGGTGCAGGAGAGGAGGCGGAGAGCTCATCTGTCAGCCCGAGCTGGGCTCCTCCGCTGGTTCTACGGGCTCCACCAGTTCACCCCGTTATTTCTTCCCTTAGTACATGGGCTGCATCGAGGTGCTACGCTCCATGCGATCCCTGGACTTCAATACTCGCACCCAGGTCACCAGGTGAGCCTTCCAGACGGCTGCCACTTCCATGCCCTGTCCCTTCCTCTTCTCCCCAGGTACCCCAGCACCCCTGCCTCTCATCCCCTCCCTCCTCTGAGCCTTCCTCATCTCAGGGTCCACTGCACCCCTTTTTTCAGCCCATTACCCTCTGACCCCCACCGTTCTCTGAGCTCCTGCCCCTCCCCAGATCCCTCTCCCCAAGATCTCTAAGCTCCCTTCCCGTCCCCCACAGGGAGGCCATCAACCGACTCCATGAGGCTGTGCCTGGAGTCCGGGGCTCCTGGAAGAGGAAGGTTGGTGAGGGGCTTATGGTCTCTGAGTGGGGCTGGAGGGGACATCTCCTTCCCCATTCCCTGCCCAGCTGGAGCCCCTCTGCAGCCCCCACCGAGAGCCTGGGCCCCCCACCCTGTAGCCCTGTCCTGCCCGCTCTGTGACCCTGTGTTGCCCCTCCAAACCCCCCACCCTACAGCCCTCTACTCCCTCAGGTTCCCCACCCTGTGGCCCTTTGCCCCCTCAGGCCCCCAACAAGGCGCTGGCCTCCATCCTGGGCAAGAGCAACCTGCGCTTCGCTGGCATGAGCATTGCCGTCAGCATCTCGACTGATGGCCTCAACCTCTCTGTGCCTGCCACACGCCAGGTGAGGGCCATGTGGCCTGTCCTCAGCCCCAGAAGGGCAGGCTCCGTGGATTCCCATGAGTGGAAGCCCGGAGGGATGGTGGGTGCAGGGCTTCATGTGACACGTTCACCTGGAGGTGAGCGGAGGCCCCACCCTGGAGCCCAGGAGGGATGCAGCCGCTGCCCTCACAGAGCCCCACAGCTGTCACCACTGGGGGTGCTCCTGGCATCTAGTGTGTACCTGTGTGTGTCTGTGTGTCTGTATGTGCCAGTCCCCTCCCTGTGGCCCTGGTCTAGTGCCCGCCCGAGCCTCAGGTCCCTGACCTCAGGACGGCCTGTGACCGCATGTATCTCTCTGGCAGATCATCGCCAACCACCACATGCAGTCCATTTCCTTTGCGTCAGGTGGCGACACGGTAAGGGGCTGGGTGGGTGGCCTTGGCCACCTCTGTCCCCTGCATTGCTGGAGGTGGGCAGCCAGGAATCCTGGTTATTGGGCCCAGGCAGGTCCAGCCGGCCCCTCTCACCCCTCTCCTCTCTCCCCAGGACATGACAGATTATGTGGCCTATGTCGCCAAGGACCCCATCAACCAGAGAGGTGAGGTCCAGTGGTTGTGGTGGTGGTGGGGCCCCGGTGTAGACCGAGTCAGCTGCCAGGCCACACTGATGCTGTCACAAACGACCCCCCCAGCCTGCCACATCCTGGAGTGCTGCGAGGGCCTCGCCCAGAGCGTCATCAGCACTGTGGGCCAAGCCTTCGAGCTGCGCTTCAAACAGTACCTGCACAGCTCCCCCAAGGTGGTCGTCCCCCCTGAAAGGTACCAGCCCCCACCTGCTCCTCCTGGGCTTGGGTCTACTCTGCCCCCCCCACCCCGTGCTCCCTGCAAGCTCATCACAGGGTCCCCATTCCCTTGGCTGTAAAACCCAGATAAAAGCAGCCCCCACTCCCTGGGCTGAGGTGAGGATTCAGGAGCCAGTCAGCGCTGCCGTCACTATTGTCGTTAGTGCAGACAGGGGCAGTCAACGCTTCTGCAAAGGCCCAGACAGTCAATATTTTCAGCGTCTTGGCTGCTGTCTGTGAAAGCAGCTGTGGAGGGTAATAAAGCAATGGGTGGGCCGCGTGCCAGCAAAACGGTATTTATAAACACCCAAATCCGAATTTCATGAACTTGCACCATGCCGCCAAATATTGTTCTTTGGATGTTTTCTTAACCATTTAAACGTTGTGTGGCTCCTGGGCCGACCCCTGCCCTCAGCTACTGACATACCTATTAATTGTTAGAAATTCATTAAGCTGACACCAAGGAAGAGGAATTCACAGGGCAGCGCGAGCGAGGCCTTTCCCGGGATGCGATGGCCTCTTTGCCTTTCGTATGGGTTTGCACATCTGTCACACGTGCCTGGTGGCTTTCACCTGCCATTGCTGGGCACCTGGAGCTGCTGCCGCCTCCATGGGCGGCACAGTCCTGCTCTGCTGCCCAAACTGGAACCCGTGGTTTGTGCCTGATCGAGGGGCAGGCGGTGGTCTCCCCCGTTTTGCTGTTAGGAACCATGCTTACTTGAACGAGCGCTAGTGGGATAAATTTCTGCAGGTGCCACCACAGGGCCAGACGGTGAGGGCGTTTTAAATGCCGAGGGTGTCTCACCATCACGCACAGCAGGCATCCCGGTCCTGGGTGCAAGTCTGATGTGTCCTGGCTTCCTGGCCAGGCCAGAAGCCGATAGAAAGACGTGGAGACCACCTTTTCTGAGGACCTGCTGTAGCTGTGCCATGTCCCACTGTATAAGGGAGGGAAGAGAAAGACAGTACCCAGCAAGCATTTCCTGGGTGAAGGCTCAGCCGATGGGAGGTGTGATCAGAGTCCCCTTGGGCCTGGCTTTTTCCACCCACCCCTCAGAGCTCCAGCCCCCAGGTCTTGGCGTCCCTGTTCCTTGTGCCCTGGGTACCAGGGTTCCTGCCTGTGCTCCTGCTTGCTGTCTGTCTTCAGGCTGACCGGGCTGGAGGAGTCGGCCTGGGGGGATGAGGAGGACATGGAGCACAATTACTACAACAGCATCCCAGGGAAGGAGCCGCCCCTGGGAGGACTGGTGGACTCCAGGCTCACCTTGACACAGCCCTGTGCCCTCGGGGCCCTCGGAGCTGTCGGCCAGGTCGGTGCCTATGGACTCATGGGGGAGGGACGGGAAGCTGTCCCCACTGCCGACTCCTTGGGCCTTGTCCCTAGCTTTTCCTTCTGTTCCTGTTCTTGATCCTAGAGGAGGGTCTCTCAGGCCCCCTACCTTTCCCTCCTTACCAGACTGCACAGATCTGTTCTAGACCCTTCAGATGTATACACTGACATTGAACAAATAATTATATCAGTGATTTAACCAGGGCTGTGCAAAGGGCTTACAAGGAAGGTAACAAGAATGTACGAAAGGGAGACTGACTTGTCTGTGGTCAGGTGCACTTTCCTGAGGAAGCTGTGTTTGGGCTGGGCTCTGACGGGTGAATAGGAGTTGCCCAGGAGAGCAGTGCAGGGAAGGAGAAAATAGCATGTGCTGGGTGGCAGGAGGGTGCATGCAGACCACCTTCCGGAGGGGAGATGGCCTTATGAAGCTGTAGCAGAGGTAGGCCGTGGATGCAAAGCTGGGCCTGGTGGACTCCCGGCAGTTGGAGAGCCAAGGCTTGGGGGAAGGGTTAGAGCAGCGGTTCTCAATCCGTGGGTCGCGACCCCTTTGGGGGTCGAAAGACCCTTTCACATGGGTCGCCTAAGACCATCGGAAAACACATATATAATTACATATTGTTTTTGTGATTAGTCACTATGCTTTAATTATGTTTAGTTTGTAACAATGAAAATGCATCCTGCATATCAGATATTTACATGACGATTCATAACAGTAGCAAAATTACAGTTATGAAGTAGCAACGAAAATAATTTTATGGTTGGGGGTCCCCACAACATGAGGACCTGTATTAAAGGGGCGCGGCGTTAGGAAGGTTGAGAACCACTGGGTTAGAGGGTGTGAGCTGCGCTTCCCATCTGACATGTCCCCAGTGATTTAGGCGGGTTGGGTGGGAATGCTGGAAGAGGGGCTTGCATATTGCAGGAGGAACCCTCACTTTCTTTTTCAGGGAGCATCTCCTCCTCGAAGAGACACCCATGGCCTGCACTGGGAGCTGGGCCCCTCAGGTAGGGTAGGGTGTCCTTGGGCCATAGGAGTGGCCCGGCCCCTCCCCCACTGGGTGCCTGGGCCCCCCTTCACCGATTCTACTCTCTGCATCATTTCACTTTCACTTGCGAGACTGTATTCACTCCACAAGCTCTTGTGAGATCTGACAGCATCAGTTTCGTTTTCTTTTTTCATCGAGGTTTCTGGCTTCTTCGGAAACTGGAAAGCTCTGGCCCCCTGGGCCGCTTTCCTGCCTGGCAGATGGGGGCAGGCTGGGTGGGTGGCTGTTCCCTCTGGCTGTCCCACCAGAGTAGAGACCTCTGGTGCCCCCCACCCCTGATTGGGTATCTTTGGGGTTTTTCGCTCTTGATGGTGCTGCTCAAATGGGCATGAGGCTTCCTTCTAGGAGTGAGATGGGTGTGGGTGGGGCTCCCAGGTTGGGTCCCGTCCTGCGCTCCTCTGTGCCCTAGGGCCTCAGTGTTCCCCTGGCTCCACCAGCTGACCTCACCGTCCTGTCTATCCTCCCCAGCCCCGCCAGGGGATGGCTACGTGCAGGCAGATGCCCAGGGGCCCCGAGACTACGAGGACCACCTGTACGTCAACACACAGGGTCTGGACGCCTCAGAGCCTCTGCAGCCCGAGGACAGCCCTAAGAAGGACCTGTTTGACATGCGTATGTGGGGACAAGCCATTCTGAGGGGGACGGTCTTAGGGGGGCGGCACAGCCTCCTCCCCTGGGGACTTCTCCCCCTGGGACTTTCCAAGTTGATGTTGGTGGGGTGGGAAGTCTGTTTCCTACGGGGCTCCCTAGTCTGACAGGGAGGTGAGCCTCCCCCTCTGTGGGGCCCCAGTCTCTTGGGGTAACATAGCTGCCTCTTAATGGGGGTCCCCAGTCTGATGGAAGAGGCCTAGCTCATATAACTAGAAAGAGGCTAGTATGATGGGGGAGGCTCAGCCCCTTTTCTTTTGGGGGACTCTTCAGTCTGTTGGGGGAGGCCTAGCTCCCTACCATTGGGTCTGAGGAGGGATTTGAGTTCCATCCTCATGTGACTCTATGGTTTGAGGGAGGGTGGGAATCCCAGCCTGATGGGGAAGGCACTGTCTTCTCTCTGGGGGATCCCTAGTCCAATGAGGGTGTTCTAATCAGGTCCTGATAGTCAATGGTAGAGCTTGTTCCTTCCTTCTGCCTGGGCCTGAGGGAGGGCTCAGTCTGATGGAGGAGGCGTGTGTTCAAAATGCCCTTCTTATCTCCCCCACAGTCCCATCCTCTCCCGCAGCACTGCGGGAGGTGTGGTGCCCATGTTGGCCAGGCAGAGTGGTCCCACATTCAGGACACCTCCCTAGTTGGCCTTCCTTGGGCACCTCCCAAGCCAGCTGGAAATTTCTTTCTTCACAATGTTTGCCACCTGACAAATGGCTATTTTATTGCAATAATGACATGCGGTGGCTCTACTGAGCACCTCCGGTGAGCCAGGCACCGGACTAAGCGCAGCCCCACTGGCCCCTCACAACAATCCTCCGATGGGGAAGGAGGAGCTGGATGTGAGCTCCTTGTGGGCAGCTGTCCCCTCTGGTCACCACAGAGCCCAGCAACCCCTGTGGAGAAAGAGGTGCTTCTGGCCAGGCTCCCATTAGCACACTCAGCACACACAGCACACCCTCAGCACACACAGCACAGCACACCCTCAGCATAGCCAACACTCAGCACACACAGCACGCAGCACACACTCAGCACAGCACACACTCAGCACACAGCATACAGCACACACAGCACAGCACACCCTCAGCATAGCCAACACTCAGCACACACAGCACGCAGCACACACTCAGCACAGCACACACTCAGCACACAGCATACAGCACACACAGCACAGCACACCCTCAGCATAGCCAACACTCAGCACACACAGCACGCAGCACACACTCAGCACAGCACACACTCAGCACACAGCATACAGCACACACAGCACAGCACACCCTCAGCATAGCCAACACTCAGCACACACAGCACGCAGCACACACTCAGCACAGCACACACTCAGCACACAGCATACAGCACACACAGCACAGCACACCCTCAGCATAGCCAACACTCAGCACACACAGCACGCAGCACACACTCAGCACAGCACACACTCAGCACACAGCATACAGCACACACAGCACAGCACACCCTCAGCATAGCCAACACTCAGCACACACAGCACGCAGCACACACTCAGCACAGCACACACTCAGCACACAGCATACAGCACACACAGCACAGCACACCCTCAGCATAGCCAACACTCAGCACACACAGCACGCAGCACACACTCAGCACAGCACACACTCAGCACACAGCATACAGCACACACAGCACAGCACACCCTCAGCATAGCCAACACTCAGCACACACAGCACGCAGCACACACTCAGCACAGCACACACTCAGCACACAGCATACAGCACACACAGCACAGCACACCCTCAGCATAGCCAACACTCAGCACACACAGCACGCAGCACACACTCAGCACAGCACACACTCAGCACACAGCATACAGCACACACAGCACAGCACACCCTCAGCATAGCACACACTCAGCACACACAGCACAGCAAACACTCAGCATAGCAAACACTCAGCACACACAGCATACAGCACACACAGCACAGCACACACTCAGCACAGCACACACTCAGCACACAGGACAGCACACACTCAGCACACAGCACAGCACACACTCAGCATCGCACACACTCAGCACACACAGCATGCAGCACACACTCAGCACAGCACACACTCAGCACACAGGACAGCACACACTCAGCACACAGCACAGCACACACTCAGCATCGCACACACTCAGCACACACAGCATACAGCACTCACAGCATACAGCACACACTCAGCACACACAGCATGCAGCACACACTCAGCACAGCACACACTCAGCACACACACTGCACACACACAGAGCACACAACACACAGCGCACACTGAGTACACAGCACGCAGACCAGCACACGCTTGGCCCGCACACAGTGCATAGCCAATGACCCCCTGTGGTGGGCTCAGTGCAGGTGTGATGCACAGTAGGTGCTCCATCAATGTTACCCGGTCCCGAGGGTGGGTCCTTCCTCCTGTCCAGCCCCTTCCTTCCCAGCACGAGGCAGCTGCCCACCCCCTGCCTCCCGCACCCCGTCCTTGCCCGCAGGACCCTTCGAGGATGCGCTGAAGCTGCACGAGTGCTCCGTGGCCGCGGGCGCAGCAGCCTCCCT